AGGTGGCGGCGGCCCCGCGCAGGGAGCGCCCGGAGGTTGCCGCGCCGCCGCAGCGGGGCCGAGCGGGGCCGCGGCCCCTTTAAGAGCTTCACCTGCCGGACGCGGCCCGGCGGCGGCGCGCGGCCCGGAAGCGGAAGCGGCCCGGAAGCGGAAGCGGGGCGGGCGGGGCGGGAGCCGGAAGCGGCGGCTGAGGGGACGATGCCGCTGCCCGTCCAGGTCTTTAACTTGCAGGTAACGGGGCAGCCGCGCCCCCCGGCCCGTACCCGCGCGGTCCGGCCCCGCCGCGTTCCGCGCACCTCTCGCGCAAGGTCCGGCATCCTGGCCCGGCCGCGGGCGCGCTGTGGCCTTCCCCGTGGACTCCGCGGGAAGGGGCCGCTGTCGGCAGGCCCTGGGCCCTCGTTCGCCCTTCCGTCGGGTCCGGCTGTGTCGCTTCCGCCGCCGTTGGCGACGAGCAACCCTCAGCCGAGCGTCATGCGGTCCCCGCCGCGGCCCCGCGCTCGGGTCCCGCGCTGTGCGCGCCGTAGGCAGGGCCGAGGCTCTCGAGGAGGGCGTGGTGAGGCTGCCGGTGAGAAGGACTTGAGAGTCTGCAGTGCAGAGGAGAGCCCTGGGAGTCCCGAGGGGTCGGTGACACTCGGTACCTGCGCAGGCGATCCTTTGCGGGTTTCAGCAGTAGCAAGTTCTCTGTCAGGGCACGGGCTTGTGGGAAGTGAGGCACAGGATGAAGGACAGTTCAGCTTCCAGCTCTGCCCCTTCGTCAGTGACAGGTCTGTACTGAACCCCCCTCCAGCAGTAGGTCACTCCTCTTCCTCCGGAGTACAGCAGGAGACTTCGGCTCAAGTGCCATTTTATCAGCCTGTGAAAGTCCTGGTGAGGTGCCTTCAACAGGGTGCCTACTATGGTAGTCTTACACAGCCTAAACAAAGCAACCCTGGCACTTAGTGTTTATGATATGAGAAAAAAGATAAGGGAGATAAAAATGGAAAAAGTAATGGTCTCAACTTGTGGTGACTTAACTGTTTTTATGCATGTTTTTCCTGAGTTGTGATCTAGACAATAAAACTCTTCTTTGCACCCTCTCTCCCTTTCTTTCATGGAAAGATTATTATACTAGGAAACAAACTTTTACATGCTTCACTTGCTTTTGCTTCAGATTTTTGGCAATTCCACATCAGTGTTGAGGTATGTGTGTATTTGGTATGTACCAGTTTGTGAAAGAATAAACAGGCTGTGGGTGAATGTAATTTTTAGACTTAGGAAGTCTGTATCTGCCCTGTTCCTTCTCACAGCAAAACTCCAAAAACAGAAACCATCAACCCAATAAAAAAAAAAAAGTCAGTTTTTGATTTCTTAACAGACAGTAAAGTTAATAAAAACATGGAAACAATTTGGTGTTGATGGAAGCAAGGTGGTTGGCATTTCTTGAACTGAGTGTTAATGCCTGCTCTTGCTCAAGGAAGAGAAATGGACTGTCACTTGGAATTTGGCATGCATACCTGACATACTTTGTAAAATCAGATTTATTGACCCCTTCTTGCTTGATAATCTACCAAGACAAATAAAGGGTTCTGTGTGAACGCTGAGCCGTGCTGACCAGTGGGTTGCTAGAGAAAAATCCTAAATATATCAAAAGACTGAGGAGTGCTTTTTCATTTTTAAAATTTTACATGTATTTAAGCAAGTCTTTAATAGGTTGAATCACATAGTTGTTTCCTGCTCAAATGTAATAAGCTACTTTTGACCTCCTTTTGCTATTCTAGGGTGCAGTGGAGCCCATGCAGATTGACGTAGATCCACAAGAAGATCAGCAAAATTCACCTGATATCAACTATGTGGTGGAGAACCCCACACTGGTACGTGCTCTGCTGAGGGCTGTGGGGACATTTCTTGAGTGTGGCCTCTTCCTTTAAGGATTTGGAAAAAATCCCTTTTGAAAAAAGTTAAAGCTGATTAGTCTTAACAGACAGCTGAAATTTAGAAAAGGTAATTGTAGTATACTGCATATTTCTGAGGATGTTACTAATGTTTGAAGAAAGCATGGACTAATCTTACCTGATTTTTTTATTTGTCTGAGTCGTGTTGCCCTCCTTGAAGGGGTCAGGTCTGCAGGAAAACCTGTGCAGGTCACAGTGCAGTAGCCTGATTTTGTGTGTCCATCTCCACCTTCTGAGGCCAGGCTTTGTTGGCAGGATTTGGAGCAGTATGCATCCAGCTACTGTGGGCTGATGCGAATCGAGCGGCTGCAGTTCATTGCTGATCACTGTCCACAGCTGAGGGTGGAAGCTCTCAAGATGGCTCTGTCATTTGTCCAGAGAACTTTCAATGTTGACGTGTATGAAGAAATCCACAGAAAGCTGTCTGAGGCCACCAGGTACTAAGAAGTCATGGGAATATGGGGAGCTTTCCTGAAAGGGTTTAAACTGATGTGCCACAGTGGAAGACTTTGCATGTAATACCACAGTGTTCCTTATGGAAATTGTCTTTGCCCTTAGAATTTTATAACAGTGAAATGTGTGTTCAGGCCTAAGGTTCTCATGCTTTTTTAAAAGATAAAGCGCAGAAATCTTAGTGTTTTTAAAAGCTGCAGGTAGATATTGAGTTGAGTTTAGTCCATGCAACTGCTTCAAATATTAATGAACATAGTTGTTTTTCCTTAGGTAGATTATGGTGACGAAACCTCTTCTATATGATTCTGTGGTCATAAGTTAAACCTAATCTAACTCTTTGCCTTGTTTTGGTTTGTTTTTAACTTTTTCCCCCTCTAACAACAGGTTTGCTCTTGAGAATAGCCATTGACACCTGACTTATCCATCTACATTTCTTATCTTTGCATTATTTTTGTTGCTATGTCTATTTGATGATTTTTTGTCTGTTTTGCCCTGGGAATCTTTAGCATGTGTGTATGACAGTACATTCATCCTAAGATCATAGGATAATTTTGAGAAGTCTTTGTAAACGTCTGTGATGCTTATGTTACTGTTTGTACTGGAAATCTTATCAGTCTTTTTCTTTTTTCCCCACTATCCTTGTTTTCTCTTTGATGATCTATTTTGTGTATGCAGTACTGTTTGTTAGGGTAGCAGTGCCAGGCACTTAGCAGACCTCTGTTTTGGAAAGTTTGCAGCCTAACATTAAGCTCTGTTCAAATGCTTTCAGAGAACTGCAGAATACACCTGATGCTGTCCCCGACAGTGGAATTGAACCCCCTCCTCTTGACACAGCTTGGGTCGAAGCTACGCGCAAAAAAGCTCTTCTTAAACTGGAGAAACTTGACACAGATCTGAAAAATTACAAAGGGAACTCCATCAAGGAGAGTATCAGGTGAGATGCAGAAGGCTCTGCTGGAGCAAGAAAGAGCATTTTGCTCCTCCGTGCACTTAACACAGGATGTTAACTAAGGCATTCACTGCCTTAGGTCAGTGTGTTGAGTTACTTGATTGGAACAAACTGACTTTGTCCCTTTCTGAGCACCCAGTTCATTGGTGTTTTAATTCCTGTGCTCCAGGAGAGGCCATGATGACTTAGGTGATCATTATCTGGATTGTGGGGACCTCAGCAATGCTCTCAAGTGTTACTCACGAGCCCGTGATTACTGCACCAGTGCTAAACATGTCATCAACATGTGTCTCAATGTCATCAAGGTAGGAGGGTTGGCAGGAAATGGTATTTGGTTCTTGCTGATACCTGCTGCAACGTCCCCCCGTACTTTGGTCTTGTGTCTGCAATGATGAGGCTTATCTAAGGAACCCCGTTTATCCATGGCTACCCCACGTTGTTTCTGGCTCTTTACAGGTCAGTGTCTACCTCCAGAATTGGTCTCATGTTCTGAGCTACGTAAGCAAGGCTGAGTCTACACCAGAGATTGCAGAAGTAAGCTCCTGCTTTTTAACTTGCATGAGTTTTCCCTTTGTTTTCTGTTTCCAAAATCTGTAAAGCAATTTCTTCCTTTCTCCCTTTATGACTTGCTCCATATAAGACTTCCTCCTCAGCTGCTATACTATTCCTTTTGAGGTCATTGTTGCTTTTCTTCCATGATATATGTGTACAAAGTCTGACTCATGGTAAAAACAGATACTTCCCATCCTCAGTTCTTACCATATTTCCTAGACAAATAAGATGAAGTTATCTTGCCATTGAGATTTGCAAGTTAATTATTAGGATAAAATATCCTGAAGACACTTGTAAGCAAAATAGTTTTTGTACTGCTTGCTCACTACTGCTTTGTTTTATGCTTTAGCAAAGAGGAGAAAGAGACAGCCAGACACAAGCAATTCTCACCAAACTGAAATGTGCAGCAGGTGAGCGAGTCCTTCAGCTTCCTGGATGGTTTGCCTGTCTTTCTGCTTGTTAGCTGTCCATAGGGCTCTTGGGCAATAGTGTGGGCTTGGCTTATTTTTTCTCTTAGTTTGACACACTTTTTATTTCTGCACTAGACATGCAAAATGTAATGAAGCCGATGAGATAGAACTGCTGGCTGTTTTTTGCCTTCTCTTTTTTCTCCCTGAGTTTCTTCAGAGAGGATACCAGTGTGAGTCAATGTAGCTCAAGGGATGCTTGATACAGTCTGAGAATCTTGTTTTACTTCAGTAGTGAAGGCACTAGC